TTCTCTTCTCTTCTCTTCTCTTCTCTTCTCTTCTCTTCTCTTCTCTTTTCTTCCCTGTCTAGTTAACCACTTCTTGCCTCATTCCTATCTAGTTTCCTTATCTTTGTTTTACTTTCTTTCATTTTCTTGGAGCTATTCCTCCACCTCAACCAAACTCTCTTTAATATTTTTCCTTTCTATGTTTCTGGGGGCCATTTAAAGGAATGTATGTGGGTTTTTTGGGATGTATAAATAGGGTGTTTGAGTTTTGATAAAAATAAAAACACTCTTGAGTCAAACTTGACTCAGTAAGTAAATATACAAACAAGCAACCTTTTGACAATATTATGGAAATGATCTGCCATTCCCTTCACAAAAAATGTTATACTCAGTTGACCAACATTTCCTTTGTTGAATAATGACATTTAGCATAGTTACTGTCAAGTTTTATACCAGGACAGAACAATAAATCTCAAATCTCCAGATAATTAACCCTTTAGCAATTGGCTTAAACTTGGCAGAAGTCTCTCAGGCATGACAGTTGAAGTAGAATATTATAGACAAGAATTAGTGTAGTTAATTTATGCAACAATGATTTGTCCTTTACAGTGTGAAATCAAAGCTTTTATATGGGTGTGTACTCTAGAATTTAAACTAGACTTTTTCCTCCTGCCTTCCGAGTTCATGAATTGGACATAGGGGAAATATTTTTATGTGTAGCTCACTCTCTCTTTCAGCCCTTATGACACTTCCTGTCTATTTTCATCTTCCTATTCCCTCTGAAATTAAACCCTTTCTTGGTCAATATCTGGCTGACAGATAATTGTGCCCATCTTCTGATTCTTCAACACTTTGAAGTATATGAGATTTCCAATCCCTCCTCCTATCCCATGAGTTTAACTAGAAGGGAAGTAGAATTTCCATTTCTTCTTTGGTTGCAGCTGTCAAGATCCCCCTCTTTTAAATGCTTGCATTTCCCCTCCCCCATTCATTCAGCTGAACATCTCAGTTTATCACATAGGAACTGATTATTCATGTCTTGGTTCTTGAAAAAAGACTCATAGCTTGACTAGTAGCTTTTCCATGGCAGACTAGATTGAATCTATATAGGAATCAAAACACCTTATCTTTGTTTATCCAAAATTTGCTAAGTTTTCTCTTCTTCTCACAGTCAAAGGGGATATTTCGTAACTCTTTTCAAGCCTACGGGAGGATAGAAAGCCTATGTTGACCCAAAGAAGATATTTTGTTTGAAGTGTTGGCAGTGACTGAGCAATTAAGTTCTAATCTACTCTTAGCTGTGGAATTTCTCACGTGACTTTGGGTACAGTTCTCCCAATCTCCCAAAAAAGGAAAAGACAAGGGGTTCCTTGAAGGTTGTCTATCTAACCCTGCACTTATGAACCCTGTTTTTGCTGAATTTGATCAGTCAAGGAAAGACTTTCTGTTCTGCCCTTAGGAGTCTGAGACTTAGGACTAGCTAGATATCAAGGAAGGGGCACTGACGTTTTCTGGGTGGAGAATGGAGATTGGAGGGTCATAAGGTAAGAAATATTCTAGCTTACATGATAAAATAGCACAACACTAGAAATTCAAAAGTGCATTTGTCTAGCTTAGCAGAGGGGCTACGTTTCTGAAACCACCGAATGCACTTGATCAATGTAGAGAGCAGGATCCTCTGAGTAAATCAATACATTTCTAGATGCAGAATTAAAGCTCCCCCCCTTTGCCCCCCCAAAACCTATGAGAAATGTGGTTCATAATTTTCATGAAGATCAGTGGCTCCTTAACCAGTCTAAAGGCCACTGTAAAATTCACATTTTATTCTATTTATTCTATGCTCACAGTGGTGAGAATAGAGTAGAATAGAATAGAGAACAGAACAGAAGAGAAGAAATGTGATGGCACAAGGGATAAAACTGCCTTTGTGTCTAGTTGTCTATGCATGCAATGCCCTATTGCAGCGTCCCGAGGGGAGAAGTTGAAACAATTTATGTCCAAGATGTGAGGTGTCTGTAGATATTTCTCAGCGCTCATTCTGACCTGCTGATTATTCAGATCTTCTGTGGAAGGCAGGCTGGTTACAGTTGTTCTTTCTGTAGTCCTAAGTTTCATTTAGAGTTTGTACCTGTCCTGTTTGGTTGCTGTACCAAACCAACAGTTATAGAAATACATATGATAGATTTAATAATTCCTCTGTAAAAGTATATTCACAACTTCTGGGCAGTCTGAACTTCCTGGGTTGACTCAGGAAGTACATTCTTTATAGTGCTTTTCTAATGATGGTTCTAGTGTTAAATGTCCATTTCACGTTCTTGGAGATTACAGAACTCCAAAACTTGAAAGATTCTCTGCTGATACTGGGGTGTCGAACATAGTAAGACGGGTCCCCAACCCCTGGGCTGTGGCCTGCTACCAGGCTTGTTGGGAGTTGGGCTGCCAAAGTGGCAGGTGAGCACGCAAAGCTTCATTTGCCATGCCCCTGTTGCAGACTGACTCTGAGGGAGAGGAGGAACACCGACAGGGAGTGGAAGTGTGGCTCCAGAGGTTGTGGAGGAGGCTGGGGAAGGGCAGAGGCTGGCTGGGCAGTCAGAGGAAGACCCAGGCCCATCCCCTCTCCATCCTAGGGCACGCAGGGAGGAGAGAATAAAGGAGAGATGTGAATGGCATGGTCTATGGGGGAGGAAAGGGCCTTGATCCTTTTCATGGGCTGCAGTTGTGAGAACTGGTTAAAAGGATGGACATGCGTATGGGCCAGTGCTGGAAACAAAGTGTGGAAATATCTCCAGTCTGCTGTTCCTTTCTGAGTTTGGCATCCTTCCCAATGTGTGTTCGGATATCTATGGACGTCTTCAAGCCTTATCTTGCCTGGTTCCCTTAATTGCTTCATTGTGGTTTGTGTTGTTTTTACTCTTTATAATTTATAGGCATTTTTAGTTTAAATGGCATTTCCCCCTTTTCGTAACTGCTTGTAGGGGAGTTTTTTTTTCTCCAGTCAAGGATATTTGGAGCTTTGAAGCAAAGTGAAGGAATAAAAGGGGCTTCACCTGTTTTTGTGACTGCTTATTTTGTATCCCACCCTGGGTCATCACAACATGCATGGAATTTAGGTTGTGTGCGTGAAACCATTCTACCCTGCCATCAAAGCCGCTGCCAAAACTGGTTACAGAACCAAAAAAGTTGGGGACCCCTGTAATAAGAGAGGGTAGAATAGAAGGGCTACTCCTGAAATCTACTCTCATCTCTACAGTTTTAAGCATGTTCAGCTCCAGATAGTTCTAGCTTTAACACAGGGCCAGTTCCCATTTATATGCAGACTCATCACTGTCTCAGGTGAGGTGAGTGATTGCTTTATCATCTGCAAACTTCAGTACTTTTAACAGAGGACTAGAAATGCAATAATTGGTATAAAGCAGAAAAAAGCAAGATGTAGTGCAGTTCCATCATCTGCAGGTCTGTCTGTATTTGCTCAGTAGGCAAACTGCAGAGTCTTAACAGTGGATCTGTGATGACTTTCGGGTGGGTTAGCGCTACAGAGAAACTGGCTTGTAGTCATTTAAGCCTCAGTCAAGATGAATGAGGAAAACCCTCCTGGAGCATAAAAAGGTTTACAATTGATGAATGGTTTCTCTAAGTCCACACCAATTTATTGGTCCAATTTATTTAGTACTGTGACATTCTTACAGCAGCAGGTATTAACATACACAAAGATTCTCCCTCCTCTTTTTTATTGGATCTCTGTAACCCAATCTGCCCTTTGAATCTAAAACCTTATGTTTCAATTGCTTCCCTCATATCCTGGACATAAACTGGTTCAACTCTTTCCTTCGGGATGCATTGTATGCCAAAACAATTAGACACAGGGACAGTTTTTTCCCTCATGCCATCCATCTGCTAAACACCTAATTCCCACAGCATTAGCACTGTTTTATGTCTAAGGATAGTTGCCCATATTGTATGGCTGTAGTATTATTATTATTATTATCCTTCCCATTTTCTTTACTACTTATTATGGTTATGATTATTCTGTTGCTTTGCATGTACCCTAAGAACTTTTGCAGTGGAGACAAATTCCTTGTGTGTCTAATCATACAGTACTAATAAACTGTTCCATTCTGTTCTATTCTCAATAGTGTCACTGAGCCAAGTTTTTGTAAAGCGATATCAGCTGAGTTAGAAAAATTAGAGTTCTTATTTAGAGGAAAAAGTTCATCCATTGACAAACCTACATTCATTATTGAATGTAGATTTGTTAGGTGAAGCAATGGGAGAGAAATCCTAGCCCTCCTCCTCAGTTTCACACCGGCATGCTTCTTCTCTTTCGCTTCCTTTATATTCTCCAGCTACTAAGAGAACTGTTGTTTCTCTGATCATAATATCCACTTAACTTCTGTGTTTGCAGAAACTGGAGGAAACAGAGGAATAGTCTTAGAAAGTTGTCTGATGTTCAGAAGTTCATTTTTGGTGTATGTGATCCATAATGAGTTACAGAAAATAAAAAAGAATGTCAAAAACACTAGAGAGTATTTAATTAAGGCTGCCATTAGTGGCACCATCTTGAGGAACTTGAATGAATCCTGAAGATTTATTTTGACAGTGAAAGGCAGTTTAATACGCATGACCATTTTTCATACAAATCAGATTGTTTACCCCTCTCAATTTTATTTTGATAAAATATGCTTTCTTCAAACATACTAAAGGTTAGGAAATGAGGTAAAAAGGTAGTAACCCCAAACAGTTGCTGGGTTCAAGAATCAGTAATCTGACCTCACGTAGAGAGCTATTTTTCCTAATAGGAAAAGTTAGGATTACTCATCAGCTAAGCAAAGTTTAAGCTACTAGGTCTGTGATGGCAAACCTATGGCACACGGGCCAGAGGTGGCACTCAGAGCATGTGGGCATGTGTGCTGTCGCCAGCTGATCTTCTGCTTTCTGGCATGTGCTGGCCAGCTGCTCTTGGTGCGCTCCAGAGCACTGGAAACACAAAGACCAGCTGGCCGGTGCACCTGCACACTGGAGGGTCTTCAGGTAGTACAGTCTGCAAGCAAATTTGCAGCTTTAGGTAGTACAGTCCGGAAGCATGAGCACTAGCCAGCTAGTCTTCAGTTTCTGGTGCTCCGGCATGCGCACTTATGCGTGCACATCATGCACATTCCAGTTTGGGCACTCAGTGCTGAAAAGGTTCACCATCCCTGTACTAGGTGCTGTGTTGGCTGCTGTTGTGGGAGAACTGATACACCAAAGTGGCCTCAACCTTTTTAACTTTCTGGAGGTCCCTCAAAACCAGATTGGGTCAGCAGCCCCGGAGGCCTCAGGGAGACTGGAGAAATAACTGAAATGACTCCCGTGTAATTGACATGTTTTTCAATTCTATTTTAGTTTTGTGCTTTCTATAATTTTAAAGTTTTTAGTGTTAATAATATTATCAATACGTTGTATATATGTTTTTGACTTGGTTGTACACTACCCAGAGTCATTGATTATGAGATGGGTGGTTATATAACTGTGAAAAATAAATCAGCGTAGCTTTCAACAGTCTTCCTTTGGAAAGCTTCTCCTAGGGTAAGAGCCCAAAGGGAGAAGACTATAGCTAATAACCAGAGTGGGAGCAGTGTATTGTGGGAGAAAGGTTCAGATGAAAGCTAATGGATTAAGGGTCATTGTTTATTATAGCTGGTGAGTATATGTGGAGTGGATGAGCAAGAATGGGATTTGACCCTTTTTTATGCGTGGTTGGTGGGCTTCTACCTTTGGATCTAAACAAACAATAAAATGAAAAAGATTTATAACATGCTTCTAAGCAGGGCCCAATCCAACCACAGTAAAAATTAACTTTAAAGTGTCAATAGTCAAAACTACACAAACAAGCTACATATAACATGTTTTATTTATTTACTTATGAAAATAAAATATGTACTCAACAATAAAACCCTAAATCTATAAAGCTGGCATCCCTACTGTCTTAGGGGGATTGTCAAAATTAGTGGGATTGTCAAAAACAAACAAACCCATAACCATACCATCTTAACTACCAACCATGATTGTCAACATCTGTTCACAACTGTTTTTGCCACTCAGTCTATTACATAAGCAAGTTTTCACACACTTTAAAATGTTGGTAGAGACAATAAAACATCACGGCATTTTATAGGCAAAGGAAGTAATTTTCACATGAATCAACTACTTTACAGAAGACAGGGCACTAACTGTTAAAGGAAGGGCAGTTTGGTCCCATTCCAAGTACCTCTGCCACCTTTTTGGGTTTTGATTACAGGACTGCTAATGACCTTGTTATCCAACTATTACTACTAAATGCCAGGCCAAATTGCTATGTGTTCTCATCCATTTTTGGTAGACCAGAAACTTTGTTGGGTACAGATATTGCTCAGCCATGTTTGGGTACCACAACAGCTATGACTACAAGGTAGTTGGTTCTAGAATTTTCCAGACTTATCTTGCTGGATGATTTCAGTTCCAATGCATTGGAAGTTAGCTCCAGTTCTATTCAGGATTTCATAGTCTCCATGGTGATAATGGCCTTCTTTCAGCTGCTTTATGCTATGACACGTATGAATGACATGGTATTAAACATATTAGATATGGTATGTGATGTTCTGATGACTAGAATTTATGGACTCCCAATTTCTAGCCTGGACCCTTAACCACTACACCAGACTAGCTTTCAGTGATAGAAGTAAAAAAGAGTTAGACTTTATTCCATGAAATGGTGGTAATTGTAACTTTCCAGAAACAGTCCCTTATTCAGCAATAAGCCTTACCTGGTATATAACTGTCACAAAAATTCATGTGTAATCTTTATTATGGAGAAGAATACTTTTTTACAGATTTGTGTCATGTGGAGCAAAGAAGCCAATGTTTTATAAGCCTGTGTTCCAGAGCTTTTTCTCCCAACTTTCCAAGGCAATGCTTGGTGTGGTTTTGATGGCCTTAGGTGCCAGCTGAACTATAATTATATAATGTTTCTGTATAACTGGGGAACCAGTGGTTGCCACCTCACCAGTCTTAGTTTTCACATTTGCATTTTCAGCTATATTTATTGCATGAAAAAAGAGCCAACCAACATTTGCTATCCCTTAAATTATAACATGAATTAAGGAAGAAATAAATAAACTTTGCTATAAAATATGGTTTCTAAGAATGTGAGAGTAGATAATGCTTAAATACCTTTGATATGCTTTTAGTTGCTTCCAAAAGACTTTTAAAACATTTTAAAATAACATCTATCTATGTAGTCAACAACAGGTGCATCATTACTGGCAAATGCTTCACCTTTGACTCTCATGGCATCACCATTGTCTGTAACCAGTCAGAATGTGACATCTACTCCATTGACTCCTTTTGGGATGCTGGGGAGTCTTGTTCCAGTGACTATGCCTTTTCAGTTTCCATTGGAGCTTCTTAGCTTTGGAACAGACACGGCTGGAGTGACAACCACCTCGGGATCTACCTCAGCAGCTTTCCACCATAGTATAACTCAGAGTAAGTAAAACTTTTTTTTTTTACTATTTGTCAGTAAATACTTCTTTATCAATGGCAAATTCTTTGAATTGTCTGCATCTGTTGGGAAATTAGTTTGTTGTTTATGCCTATAATTATTTCTCATTGTTTTCTTGGTGGCTTAATTGTCTCAGTTGTGATGTTGCTGTTAGAAGGTGTTAGATGTCTTGGCTAGATGATTGGGTTGATTGTGCAAAAGCACCCAAACATGCTTTTTTCAAGAGGCAACTGGACTTTCTCATTTTTCTTTGAAGACATTTCACTTCTTATCCAAGAAGCTTCTTCAGCTCTGACTGGATGATGGGCAATGGAAGGATTTATACTCCTTGCAGACAGCTGGTCATTTGCATTCTTTTAGCAGGTTGTTAAGATCACCTGGAAGTTTATCTATGTCATCAAGGTCACCTGAATGATGCAAATTGGTGTGGAGCCATCTTGGAACTGTTGAAAGGACTATGTTGTAGATTGGAGATAGATGATGCCGCATCCCTCCACCTCTGTTGAGAGAGGCCTGTTCAGTTTTGACATAGATGGCCTCTTTAACCCCTCTTTCAAACCAGCTATCCTCTCTGCATAGCACAGCGTAGGTAAACAAACACATCAGGACTAGATTCAGCAGTCCATTTGCATTTAAAAGACACAGGCCACTCTTTTGAAGACAACGAAGTCCATATTTTGGACATTTTCCCATATATGCCTTACATTAGGTACTTTATTTCTCTTAATAAGTCCCACTCTTACTCAAGTTCAAAAACAATATATTCCAGTCCAATGTTAGTCCTCAGCACGTTCAATAATCATAGCTTTACATCTCAGGATTATTAATCAAGTCCATTTCAATAGTCCAGGAAGCTTTCGCAAATCAAAAATCACTTTGTTTTACTTAAAAGTCTTCTATAATAGAATCTTCAGTGATAATAAAATAACTAGGTATAGAACAGTCAATATTACCACAGTCCTCCAGATGAATTTTGTTAATTTTCTCATTAAAAAAAAAATCTAAACTTGAAAGGGTCTGGTATATTCCATTCACCAGTTGATGGTGCCCTCAGCTTAGCTTTCAGCGTTGTTTCAAATCTTAATGATTTAATTAATCCAAATTTAGTTCAATTTATGGAAGCAAAGACAGCTATTCAAATAGATTCAAGTGGAGAGTCCAGCATTTTATAATCTCTTTCCAAAACAATGCCTACCCAATTTAAGAGTCCAATTTTCTATGTTTTCAAAGCTTTTCTCTCCTTAATTCCTCTTTTGGGTCTAGGATTTTTCTGTCTATGGTAGTTCATTGCTTTAAAAGATAGTTCTAAGAGTCTTTTCCTGGATTTTCCTCCTTTTTTTCTTTAAAGTTAGGGTCTAAATAAAAAGGAATATTCTTACCCATCTCCAAATCACTGTTCATCTACACTGCTCTTGCACATTTCTTTGTTGCCTCAGCTGTCCCAGCTTCGGGGCAGCCATGATGGCTGGCTCTTCTTGTCAAGGGAGGGGGCAGAAGCCCCGAGTCCAGCAGGAGAGTTGCTGCTCTCCACAAACTGCAGGGCGTCCCTCTTTTCTTCATCATCCCTACAGGGTGTCTTTAGTCCTTTCGGAGCCCTCCAACAGGGAGAACTCGGCATGGGAGTGTGGAAACCCGCTCCTCATGTCTTTCCTTTTAAATTTGACTCAAATTTTCTTCATTTTTTTCTTTCACAGAATTTTAGTTAATGTAAATTCATGCATATCATTGATATATTTATTGGATATCTATAGTTTTAATAGATCTAATCTTTAAGCACATACTTAACCATTTCCTTTTTTTGAGTATTGTTGCCAAATCTTTCCTTCATAGGTAGTCCTCAATTTACGACCACAATTGAGTCCAAAATTTCTGTTACTGAGCAAGACAGTTGTTAAGTGAATTTGCCCAATTTACAACTTTCCATGCCACAGTTGGTTCTTGCCATAGTCAATCACTGTACTTACTAAGTTAGTAACATGATTGTTAAGTGAATCTGGTTTCCCCGTTGACTTTGCTTGTCAGAAGGTTGAAGAAGTACCACATGACTGCAGCACACTGCAACCATCATAAATACCTGCCAGTTGCCAAGCATCCAAAATTTGGTCACAAGGTCACAGTAATGTTGCAACAGTCATGTGAAAATAGTCATTAAGTCACTTTTTTCAGTGATGTTGTACCTTCAAATGGTCACTAAAAGAATGGTTGTAAGTTGAGGATTACCTGTATATAGAGTCATGCCCTGAGTGAGCCATTCTGTTCCACTTTCCAATAAAGGAGAATGTTTGTAGCTCAGAGTTGAAATGGGTTTTTTTTTGGTGCTTTCTGAGCTGTTGTTTTCTTGCAGATACTTCATTACTCAACTTTTAGGCAATACCCCAGTCAAGAAACTGCCAAACAAGCCAATAGTAAACAGCCCAAGCAAAGAACTACCAAGACCACTCCCACAAACACTGACAGAGCAAGGGTCTAAAATATAAACTTAAGAGCAAACCTACTCCCTACTAACACCAATGATGTTACCTAGTTTAGGTGATGAAATATCTGCAAGAAAACAACCAATCTCCAAGCACCAAGGACCCCTCAACTCTTTCACTTAATTTCATTTGTTCCTTAGGCAGAGGTGGTATTCAACCGGTTCGCACCTATTCAGGTGAACCGGTAGCGGTTATTTGGTACGGGTCGCCAAACCAGTGGCGACCCCTGGCTGGCCATGCCCCCGACCTGGTCACCCAGTCGCTCACTTGCCCCGGTTGTTCTCTTAGCTTTCTGTTCCCGACATCCTGTTTCTTCCAGGGGGAAAGGAAGAAAGGCATGGACGCTGCAAGTATCGCTTTCCCCGTGTGAGTTAAAGTGCCTGGAATGAGAGAGAGTGCGGGCTGACAGGGGTTGAATCGAGCCTTGGAGCACTTTTGCAACGTAAAAGAAATGCATTTTGAAGCAGGTCCTTTAAAAGCTTCTCCAAGGATTCCCCATGGATGCTGCAAGTATCAGTTTCCCCTTGTGAGTTAAAGTGCCTGGAGTGAGAAGGAGTACGGTCTGATGGGGTGGGGGAATCCACTCCAGCCTTGGAGAAATTTAAAGGAGCTGCTTCAAAATGCATGTCTGTTAAGCTACAAAAGTGCTCCGTGTGTGTGTGTGTGTGTGAGAAAAGTGCTCCGTGTGTGTGTGTGTGTGTGAGAGAGAGAGAGAGAGAGAGAGAAAGAGAAAGAGAGAGAGAAAAAGAAAGAAAGAAAGAAAGAAAGAAAGAAAGAAAGAAAGAAAGAAAGAAAGAAAAAAAATAGGAAGAAAGAGAGAGAAAACTCTGTGCTATTATTTTTAATTGTTCCATTATTTATCATGGGTTAATGTTTTACACTGTCCCTACACCGAGACTGATTTTTCTGCCTTTCTTTTGCCCAGGGCTACCACATATTTTTCAGGGTTTACATGCATTCAATGTCAATAGTCCAGAGCATAAAATACACACGTGTTTAACAAGAGTTGAAAGGGACCTTGGAGGTCTTCTAGTCTAACTCCCAGCTCAGGCAAGAAAACTGAGGATGCCAAACTCTGAGTAGAAATCCTGGGAAAGCTGTCAGAATAATACTTAGAAGGGACCTTAGGATGAACCCTATACCATTTCAGAGAAATGGCTGTCCAGTCTTTTCTTAAAAACTTCCAGTGATTGAGCACCCAGAACTTCTGGAGACAGGCAGTTCCACTGGTTAATTGTTCTCACTCACAGGAAGTTTCTCCTTAGTTTTAGGTTGCTTCTCTCTGTTCAGTTTCCATCCATTGCTTCTTGTTTGCATTCTGCTTCTTTCTGTCCCCCTTTCTTTGTGGCAGCCCCTTAAAAGCCTGTTGCCTATCCCACTCTTGAGTAAAGCATGTGAGCCATTTCCTCCTTTCAGTGGTCCATGAAAGTATATCTATAGTGTGTGCAGATAATAAAGTCAAAAAAGGTGAACAACATTTTTACAGAACTATAGATAAGTTGAGGCTGGGTGACAAGGAATGGCTGGGAGGGGAGGGGCCAGGTGAGGCACCCCTTGATATGAGTGACATTGAGTTGGCCACGCCCACCCAGTCACATGACCAAGCCATGCCCACCAAATAAACCACACCCACAGAACCAGTAGTAAAAAAAATTGAATCCCACCACTGTCCTTAGGCATCCAGTATTGTAAGCTTCATTTCCACTTTGACAATTTTAAGGTTTTCATACTTTTCACATTCTATACTGTGACTGTAAAGAACATGTATTTCTGTTCAATTCAATTGACATCATCAGTGACCAATCTTGTAGTTTTGGACTGGCAAGATAATGATTGGCTTAAAGTCATCCACTTGAATTTGTAAATCCCAAATTTCAGTACTACACCATTAAACAACTAAACTTACTGTCTACAGAGAGGCACCGAAAACTATGATCATGTTAATTTTATGATTATGTATGTGTTTTTTTTTCCTTTTGTGTGCCATGACAGATTTATTGAAGGGTTTACAGTCAGGAGCTCAGCATTCAGCAGCACTGTCTCATACATCTCTGCCTGCTCATTTGCAGCAAGCTTATTCAGGTAAGAAAATACATTTTCTCACTTTCCTAAAGAGAAGCCAGCTGTCTCACAATACAGTTTCTACAGTGATAAAAATTTCTTAAGACCAGTTTTGACAATGCAACAACTTTCTCAATGGCATGGTGGGATTCCCTTTACTCAGTGTGAATCTCTTAGAGATGCTGTAAGTTACAAGTCTAATTTGACTTGAGCATTCTCAGGTGCAGTTGTCAATCTTCCAGTTAAGAAATTACCATTTTAGAATGCTTTAAAGGAAGCAGACTATTTGGATCCCTTTAGTCACGGTTCCAGTTGGGCTTGGAATGAAAACAGTGTTTGTTGTACTGATTATTTACCTTTGTTGGGCCCTAGATGGAAAATACATATTTCTTCGGATCCTATTACACATTGATGGGCTTTGGTACCATTGACTATGGTATCCTAATTTTGGGGGATTGGAGATGTTATTTTATGTTGTTCCATTCCTTCCTAAACAAATCAGTTGTGGAGGAAAAAAGATTGATCTGATGGCCTCTTACATGCACAGCAAAGATGAATTGATTACCTGTCAAAGCAGCAAGCAGAGGTGGAGGGCAGGCACGCGATCTGGACGCGCCTTGTGAGCCGCAGGAAAGCCAAGAGTCAATGGGCTGGAGCAGCAGGCGGCCATGGGAGGTTTGTCTTCATACAGCACCAGCAGCAGATGAAGGCAGAGGTGCAGGGGGAAGGCAAATGATCTGGACGCACCGCACAGGCCATGGAAAAGCCTAGAGTTGGTGGGCTGGAATAGGTGGGCAGCCGCGGGAGAGTCATCTTTGCTTCTCTCAGCTTGTCTGCGGCCTGTGTAGTGTGCCAGGATTGCCTGCCTTCCACCCTGAACCTCTGCCTCTGCCCGCTGCTTGGACAGGGAATCATCTCACTTGCGCTGCACAGGTTGTGCAGCCCAGAGTCCACCGACCAAAGGATCAGTGAGCTGCAGCTACTGTCGGATACTATTGGTCCCCGCGCTCTTGCCGCCTCTTGTGCGGGATTACCCTGAAATGGTGTTTTCCCCCAAAATAAGCCCTGATGCTTATTTCAGAGCCTCCAAAAATATAAGACCAGGTCTTATTTGGGGGAAAACACAGTAGTGGGAAGAGGGAAAGGCCTTGAAGGTCAGGAGGAAGAGATGCTAGGAAGATAATTATCAGATAAAAGGGTCTTGAGCTCAGGTAAAGAAAATAATGTGAGAAAAAAAAATCCTCTCTAGTTCTCACAGAGCTAGAGGGAAAGAGGAAGCAGATCAGATTTGCAAGATTTTTTTTACTGCATCTGTTGCAGTAAGAGTAATGCTTGCTTGACATTAATTTTTGAGCCTGATCTACCCTATAGAACAGACAGACACTTTACACGAGACTGCCTCTAAAAATGACTTTGAAAAAGGCAGCAATCTGCCTGTTAACTGGCAGTAGAAGTCAGAAACACATTGTACCTGTGCTGTGGTCCCTGGTTTAATTTTCTGTAAGTTTCTATGTACAATTTAATTTAATTAATTAAAAATTAAGCTTTTTTAATCTACGAAGCTTAACTTGGCTTAACACCAAGTTACCTTAAGAAAACTTTCTCCAGATAGAGTTGCCCTACATAATATCTACATTCTGCAATTCTTTAGTTTTATAAAGTTGGGGGGACTGCAACTAGGAGAAGTTGTTTCTCTTTCATGACCTCCACATTATGAAATAGACTTCCCATAAAAGCTAGATTCCCTTTGGTATTCAAAAGTAAATTAACTTAAGTATTTAAATGATACTATCATGGGATCTTTTAAATGTTTCTTCAATTTAGCTGGGCTGATGATTGATTGTGGCTTGCTTGTTTATACTTCAGGCTTTTTTTTAACCAAGGATATTTATTTTCTATATTTTGTGTACCATCAAAAGTTGTATGATTGCAGTGATAGGAGAAATTTAATAAATCATCGTTTCTCTTTTATGAATTGCTTTCTCTTTTTCATCTTCAATTCTAGATGGCCAAAGCAAAGTGGATGCTAAGTTACAGAGGAAACCCCAGTGATGTTCTGCTAAGTAAGAGAGTAAATGTGGTTCTACTTTGCTGATGGAGAATGACCAGTTGGGAGAGTGCTTACATGGACACAGAGCTGCTGTTTCTGTCAATGTTTACATATTCTGATCCTAAGCACTGTGGTGAGGACAAAAAAAAAATACTTGATCAAAGAGAGAAGAAAAAGGAGGAAAGTGTTCTTATTAAAAAAAACTCACAGTTTGATTTTGTTTTCAGGACAGTTCTCAAAGCCTTTTATCCCAATTGTCTCAGAAAGGGTTGGCCAAACAGGTTCAGTTGTCAAACCTACAGCAACCCCAAACCTTTTTGCAGGCTGATGTCTGATAAAGGAACTATGAAAGGAAACTAAAGTAAACATCTGTATCCACCATGCAAGTAAGGCCATCCATCCTGTTCAGCCATGTGGAGGCTTCAGGAAAGTCTACAAGCTATAACAGTTAGAAACATTCTCTGCAAGTTTGAATAAGGTGAAGTATAGAGGAGAAAAAATGTTTTATATCAGCCTAAAAGGAAGTACGCATTTTCTCTACCCAAAATCAAGGCCGCTTGTTTGCTCTTTGAAGAGCCTGAAAATTATACTTAATTTGCTTTGGCTAATATTTTCCCTAGATACTGTAACTGATCAGGACAGAGGATTTTCTATTTCAGATAAAGATTTTAAAAATGGAGAGTGTTTTGTAATTGCACATTTCAGTGGAACTTAAAATCTTCCTTTTAGTATCAAAAATTCAGATATAAGATTAGCATGAATTGGCTTTATCAGAGCATACCTTTGTTTTCAGTATCTTTGATGGAAGGTTTATTTTATCACTTTAGATTTGCTGAACCATTTCAGAGTTGCCTTATTTTTCATATATTGATAGAATGTAGAAATATTCCGTTTCTCTCCTTTGGGAAGATAGTTTCTGATTCTTCTTCCTCTTCTATTAGCTTTGAGAAGATATGTGCTGTATTGATTCTTTACAGCTTTTAAGTAAGACCTTTTATCAGAACTGTTCAAAGCTCTCTCCAAAGAGTATAGTTGAGGTGCCTTCTGTTTAGGCTTTAACATTCTTATTCCCAGTATTCTTTAAATTTGCTAAGCTGGGAGATACTTGATTTGTTGTTGCTTGAACATACAACTTGTAGGCTGGCTTTGATTTTGAAACCATTATGTTAAAAGTCTAGGAAAGAAATGTAGGAACTGCTTTATATTGCACTCATTAACTAATGCAGAAGAAATGTATTTGAGGATGTAATTCTGGGAGAAAAAGTCAAAACAATGTCACATTATGTTGTAAACATTTCAATGGAGGTCAAATCTAGAAATCATAGTTTAATCCCCAAACCAAAGTCTTTTCTTTAATTTAAATCTGATATTTTATTTTTTAGTAAGAGTTGGGTTTTTTTAAACATTTCTGGCGATATGGTCATCATCCAGCAGAAATATGTACATATGCCAGCATGTTTTGCTGGAGGCTTCTTTGATTCCAACTACAATCTCTAATGCTGCTCTAAAAGGAAACCACATTTTAAAAAGACAACTAGCTGTGTCTATTGATCAGCATTAATTCCTACAGTAGGAAACTCAGTAATATCTATGGCTTCCTATAAAATTCTACTTCTTATGTGCATATAGTTTTACTGTATGGTGGCCAAGATAATTCTTCTGCTGTTTTGTGACAGACATGTATTTAGTTATTAAGTTTACAGAGATATGTTATTTCATCTTACAAAGCCAGGTAGCTAATCTTACTGATTCAGATTACTTATCATATTTGTAAAACATGTGTATATTTAAATAATATATAATATAAACATAGTAACTGAATGTTGGGTTGACCCTATTAATTTTTTTAAAAAAACTTGCACAAAATACGGATTAAAAATAGAGTCAAATCAATCTGGAATAGAAGGTAAACAAAGGGCTTTTAAAAAACATAACTGATAGTTTCATAGAAGAAACTACAAAGTTCAGAATGTTTTTTGCATTCACAAAGCCTTCCTTTTCCCTTCAATATTAATTGGTTAATTTTATCTTCTTGATTGATTTGCTTTCATTTCAAAGGTAAGCAAAATGTTCTCCATGAGCATATCCACAAATAGCCAAATATACAGTTCTTACTGAAGATTTACTGTTACATAAGTTGTTTCCTTGTGGCAAATTCAGATTTGTGTGTTTAAGCATGTACACACACACGCACATATAAATAAAAAAATACCTTTGGAAGAAAAGACTTAAAATAAAAAATGTATTTGAAACAATGTTTTTAAAATATCATAAAAATGAAATTCTCTTAAAAGAAAGAGGCATACTAGGACCCTGACATTCCATATTGCATTATGAAAACTAAATATTGAGTAGTTGATAACTTTTAGATTTAGTTTTCCCTGATATACAAAGTGATAGAAAGTGTGAAAGGTAAAACTATTTTTCTCTTTTGGAAACAATACACAGTACAGAATAGAATTAGTCAGAGTTATATGTTTCTGATTCTGTTTTCCCATAAATTTAAAGCAAAACATGGTGGCAGAAAACGGTTTATGTTAAAAGAGTTTGAAATTTTTCTCATAAAAGTGGTTTTCTTGTTGCTCATCAATATTTCTTATGTAGAATTTAATCAAAGCACATTAATTGATTTGAATTTATTATTCTTATTACATGGCATGCAATTGGGGCCTCTCTGTTTTGCTAAATATATGAAGAGACTTCAGCTCTTTTCAATTTAATAGCAAACTGGAGTATCTGGAGACATAATGCTATGAAAGAAGTGATAGAAGACAATTGCTCCTGATGTTCTCAATAAAACAAGAATTTTATGATTAGAATAAATCTAATAAAACGATACCTCCATGAGCTTCTCTACAATGGACATAAGGACATAAAGAAGATAATCAGAATTGAAAAGAGTAGATAGAATATTAGTGCCATTACAATGCAAGTGAGATATACTTCCTGCACAGCAATTTTTAATTTAGCTATTTTTAACAGCCTAGTTTGTCTTAAAATGTATTTGGAGAGTTAAATAGCTCTTATGTTAAATCTGTTCAGTATTCACAAGCAATAAAAGGTAAAACTTTCATTTCTGAATTTAAATTGTTTTGAGACTTAGGGCTAAAATAGTGATCATACACTGAGCCTCAAATATAAGCAATAATTTTGACATACAGGTTTTGAATTTTAGAATCATTTAAATTATGTGTTTCTTGTCCAAATGGGGACAGTTAGTAATTCCTTAGGTTATCTTGGATCTTTATGAAGTATGGAGAAAGGATATAAACAATGAACAAAGAAATTTCTTAACAATGCATACTTTCATCCCCAAGGTAATATATGATGGCTTAAAATCATTCCTTTTTCAGCCTTTTATATTGTCTTGTCTCCAGCAAAACAGATGGGAATGTTGAGTCAAAATCTCAGGTGTGGGTGCTGTGGGTTTGACATCTGTTTCCATGAAATAATGGTTTAATTTATTCAGTAGGCTATGAATGGGGCAGGTAATCATGGTTTGCTTCTTCAAACTCTTAGCTGACTAATCCAACCTCCATTTAGCCTCTCCATTTGATCCAAAGCAGTTGATATAAAAATAATTCTCAAATCCCAAGCTACCATCAGTTACATTGAATCATAATCAGATGATAGTTTCTTAGGACTCACAGTTATTTACTATGTTTGCTGCTACATTCATTAAAATATTTTTGATTATATTTATAAATACATTTAAATCTAGTTTACACAGTGATTTTTAGAACTGCCCAGAAAAAAATTAGGATGTTAGTTTTTTGGAATGTTGACAAGTGATATAATTATTACTCTTATTTTTGAACTTTTCAGAATAGTAGTACAGGAAAAAAATCATGTTAAATTTTGGAAAGTTTTTTTACCTAACTATTTGCATAATTTGTTATGTTAGGAGTTCACAGAACACTTTTTATTTTCCAAACACTTTTACACCAAGATTAGAATAATAAATAGATATCATAAAATGTTTATGCAATTATAATTGTATGCCATTTAGGAGATACTTACTTGATACAGGCTTTTGGTTAAGTGCCTTTTCTTTTTGTTCCCTCTTATCCCCACAAAGTATATTCAGAGGTCCTAAAGTGTTTGGAGATATTTGGAAAGTCCTTGATCCTGCCCAAATGACTTTATGTTGTTAAAATAACTTTACTCTTCTGTAATTAGTGTTCAGTACATGTAATGTTGTGACTGCTGTTGCATAACTCTCATTCTTATGTGCTTGTTCTTTGCACACAGCAATATTTTCCTTATGTTAAATTTGTTTTTGTAGTATTAATGTTTACTTCTGAAAATGAACTTTGGCACAATTTATAAACAGTGTATTTGAGCAACTGTAATGAAGTGGTTGGTAGTACACTAAGCCATTTCCACTGGAGTTTCAGATTGTAATTTAAAATATCAGTCTAATAATCATGTTAAACCAGCCATTCTAAAATTTGGCATTTTCCCCTTTGACAGAGAAAGAGCAGAATATTTCTTCACATTAAAAATGTTATAAATAATTTATATTTGAATGGTTACAGACTAGTAGACAATAAAATATTTTATATTTCTGCAATAAAAATATTTTCATATGGCCTCTGATGCCTAAGATGCTTCACCCTAGGAAGCTGCCTGTTGATGGTGACAGTAATTTAATCTTCTAAATTAAAATTTTAGTTTTCCATGCACCTAATACAGTGAGAGCTTCTTTGCATTGCTCAGATACATATATTTAGATACATTGTAAAACAAAATTTTGCTCTAAGTAACAAATTGGCTAAATCAAAGAATAGCAGTATACTTTTAAACAAAAAAAAATCACAGCAAGATTTCCCTGGGTTTTTTTTCCAAATTTGTTACCAAGGTCTGTGACAAATGTAAGAATGCAACCCACCAATCAAAATAAGTATTCATATATTTTAAAATTTTTATTGTATTTATAAAACTTTTCACTTTTTAAAACTACCAGATATTATTATTAAGGTTCTACTGATCTTTAAAACAAAGTTGCATTCTATTTCAAATCAATTCTGAATGGATGGTTGAATACTCAAAATAATATTGAATTCTGCTAGAAATTAAAGAACTATCTTTTGTTCAGATAAAGCAATTTGGTATGATTGAGGAATATAAAGTATTTTATACAATTAGTTAACATGTTTCTAATTGCAGTAACAGATGAATTTCCTGCAAGAGTCTAAAAAAACTTCCTTATAGAAAGAAAATTCTTACTAGGAAGAAAGGGATCAGTTGTCATGCTGAAGTCTATTGTAAACTATATTTGGTTTTCAAAATTGAGTTTTTACAACTTTGAACCATTTGTTCCTAATTTTTAAGAATTATTTTCTGAATGTATTTCTCAGGACACTATTGCTTAGTTTTTTATGTATATATACACCTTTTAACAATCTTTAGAAGTTGGAGAAACTTGTATTGACACTTGAAGAAATCACTTAGAATAATCCATTTAGATATGAATTTGATCTAGGCTTAAGTATCTGGAAAAATGACTGGCAGAAGTGAATGCCTCTATAACAATCATTTCAGATACCACAACTAATATAGATCAGGATAAACTGTAATATGAAGAGCTGACAAGAAATATCTGATGACCTAGAACAATCTTCTGCCAGCCCTCTTGCAGATACCTAAATCTGAATCCATCCCCATATTTAGATAATTACTAATGTTGTCTTTTAATTGAATTATATTTTGTTGAGCCATGTCAGAAAACTAGGATTCTCTGGGGCAATTTTTGTTCAATGAAATATGTTTGTTCTATGTAACAAACACATTTCTGGAGCTTTGTATCCCAATATAATACTTTAATCTTTGCAGTGCTCCTGAAACAATATAAGTAATGTACACCTTATGTTATAAAATTTTGCCTTTTACAATACATTAGACATTTAAATTTGGTGTGGTAAAAGGGAAAATATTTGATTATCTCATCACACATTGGAATAGTTGAGAAAAGTCAGCTAATTTAAAAGTAAAGATTGTAGGCAGAGCTCTCAGACCTTAAAGGCGGTTGGTCTTTAGTACAGTAGCATTTTATGTTCAGCACTGCCTTTCTCTGTAATGCTTTATTTTGATTTTAGTAGTCAGTAAAATTGCTTATTACAAAACTCCATGTTTAGTATTACAGATATTTCCCCCTGGCTACTGTTATTATCTACCCAAAGAAACATGACAAAGCTTTTTGAATGTGTTTAGTATGAAAATATTTTTGTAAAAGTGAAATTAAATTTTAAATAGCAGGAACATTTTCACCAGTACAGTGATAGGGTTCTGAGAGACTAGGAGGTTTTCAAAATCTGATGGTGATATCCTTTTACTAACTATAATCAAAGATGCAGATGTGGAATAAAGAACAATCTCACATTTGAAATTAGTAAATCTGTAAGTAAATAAATATTTCACCTGTACAAAGAGAGGACAATTAGTTAATTAGATCATTCACATAGATTCTTCTTTAGAGAAGTGGTCTGAATATATATCTTCTTTGGCGCCTTTCAACAGTTGATTGAAGAATCCAGAGGATTAAATATCATGTTGTAGAAGCTGGTGCACTTTTTTGCATGTATTTTCAGTCAAGAACATTTGCTTAAAATAAATTTAATTTAAATTGGTGAGCAGTGTTACAAATTGCATCCATCTCTCAAACATGTTTTAATCATATTCTGTACCTAAGTAACACAATTTAAAAATAAAAACATAAAGTTAGGATTTTCTATACTGTAAGATAAATTCTGCAGTTGGACATTGATGTGATTATAAATATGAAACATTGAGCTGAACTTGTCATTCTAGAAAAGAACATGCTTTTCATAAATTGATTCTAACAATAGTGCAGGTTTCAAGTTTAAAAAAATCTAGAAATTCTATTTTAGTATTTTTCTCCTGATGGAAACAATATTTCTGAATATTTTCTCAATATTCAGCAAAACTTAAAAAAATACCTGGTTAGCCATACAAAACAAGGAGATGTCCTTATTGACAAAATTGATCCACTGATACTTGGGAACTTGGTTATAGATTTTCTATAGACTTATTTAAGGTACCTATTTTTATCAAGTTAGTGGTGCTATAATTATCCATGTCTAGGAAACATATCTGAAGCAGTTATTCTGTTCTGTGTATAGCTTGGCTCTATCTTTGAACCTAAGTATTTCTAAAATTAGTGGAAGGTTTGAGCCATGTGGGAAGAATATTTGTCTTCCTTGTGACATGTTTTCCATGCAACAAATATGTAGCTGCTCTCAATAAGAGGGCTTGTATCATTATACACATTTAGTTACTTGTGCCAACTGCTTTTTGGCTTATTTTTTACAGAAGTGTATTCTACCAACCTGAAAAATTTAAAAGAATGAATTGATCTTTTTCTCCTATTATTCCAAACACAATATTTGAATTATTTTTTCCATAATAATCTCAGGACCTGAAAGATTGTAACATAGTGTGTCTTAAAAGATGTACTGCACCAGCCATGAATTTTGTAAATAACCCTTTCATTCTCCTTTTTATAAATATCTGTTTTAAAGTATGTTAGGCTCTTTATCAGACCTGGTGCCTGCTTACTTTCCACGTAAAACTGGAGTACAGAAAAAGGGAAGCTGCTGCCACAAAAAGCCTATGCCAGTTCTGAATGTATATTCAGGTCCTTTCCAGTTTCAAAATAGAGTTAAATTAACTGGGAAACAAATGCTTTCCTCTTCGTACATTTTATCATATCATGGGCCTGGAAACTAAAATGGTGAATAGCATATTGCTCCAAAAACTCATGGGTTGAGTTTTATAGAAGAGTGGTTTTTCTTCAGTGGTTTTCCTGCTTCTATAATCCAGGAATTACTGTCTCAATTTCACTTTTTCAAACAGGGTGTGGATTATTCTTTTGGCTGGAGACTGAGAATCCATCTATAGTTAATTAGCAGATATTTGATCAGAAGTGATCAGTTTGAACGTTCAAACTGAGAGTAGATGTGCCTGTCTTTAAATGTGACAGGAGTTTCATGAGTGTTTTTCTTTTGTATGTGTCATGTGTCTGTGCTGTATTAAATAAAGAGGAATGTACATACACATTGTGTGGTTGGTATATTATAAACTTTTTTGCATATCTTAATTTGGTAATGTGCAAGATATCTAGAAAACAAACATGCTTATTTTTCAAAAATGTAATTAAACAATTTACAGCAAAAATTAATATAATTTGTTTCCAAAAGAACCAAAATAAATCCACAAAGTTAAAAATAAAAGAGCCACAGCCTATATGATGACTAATGAATTGACCATAGGTATGGTGGAAAATAGGTAAGTGGAAACAAACAAATGTCTTGTAGCTTTTAACGATAGCTGGAAAAGTTTCTCACAGCACCCCTCAAGAATAGCTGGCTGAGGAATTCTGGGAGTTGAAGCCCACAAATCTTAAAGTTGCCAAGTTTGGGGACCCCTGCTCTAGTGACTCTCTAGTAACTTATAGCTGTTAACCAAATAGGTAACCTATTTTTAACAGGCATGACTTCATAATGCCATTTCTATCTCATCTCTAATCCACTCTACAGGCAACCCAAACTTCTCTTTAGCTGCTCCACTGCTAAAGTGTTTCTCATCTTCCAACTCCCTGTTGATCACTTGGGGCTTCTGTCATAATTCCCTCTCTACTCCAATTGCTAGGACTGCACTCTGGCCATTTCAGCTTTGGCTGCAAGTAACTCCATATGTTTGGCTTTACAGACACATCTGCTTGGCTATTGCTTCACTAGAAAGCACCAGTTAAGCAATGCATGGGCTCCATGTTTTCACTGGGTACCAATCTTCTGGAAGAAGAAAATACCTGTTCTTTAAACGAGTTTAACAGTCCCACAAAAGAAAAGAAAAAATACTGAGGAAGTTACTGGCAGTTTGGTCAATTTAGCCTCATAGTAACATTCCAGAGCATTATATTGCTGCTTGTGTAGCAAAAAGTGTGTTACAGATTTTCAATTGCTTTAAAATATCTCACAGAGAGACACCCAGTCAAGATAAAAGAAGTTTAGGATACAAGAATGTCAGCCTTTAGCATGACTTGGCATTTCTCTGGCAAAAGTTAAAAACATATTCCTCTGGGAGCATCCTGTTAAGAGATTTGCATGCTGACTTCACTTGTCAGTTAACCTTTTAGCTAACTCATGCAGAAGCTGTGAAACACTGAAAATGTTCTTGCCTTAACAACCTACGAAATAATTTGATTATAAAGTGATAATAATCCAGTTGTTAAGGCTTTTATTACTTTTTCCAGATATTTTTCAATACATTGCACTCTGGGAGCATCCTGCTTTCTGTTTATGTTGGTTGCCAAATAGTTGACAATCCACAGGTCAAGATGTAGGAGATTTGCCTGCAAGCACAGTTCTGTTCCACTTCACCAATTTCTCAGGTGGCATCTTCAAGACCAGCATTCCCCTGAAAAAAACCAAAAACCATCATATCTCAGGTGACAGATGTCAGGATGAGAAAGAGGAATATTGTCAGCTTGCTTTCATGTCACTATGTCATTCACTGCCCCACCACTCAGGCAGACAATTTTTGAACAAGGGCATTTCAGTCCTTTGAAGGCCTAGCATTCCTATGTGAAAACCTATTAAATGTTGATTTACACATTTCAGTGAGAAACTTGGTTTCAATCTTGCACACATATACTCGGAATTCCCCAATTCTGCTCTGCCATACATTATGGAGAACAATTGGTGGTGTTTTTTCCAGCTGGAAATGCTGTATTAGAGGATAAAATGCTAAAGAAGGCACTAATCCTATATTAAATCTACAGTATAAAGAACCACCACTCATGGGCATTGTGACTGAAGCGCATTAAGACATGGCTGTAGCAGACAGCATAACGTGTATCACTACCTTTTTGCAGTCTTAACTAGAATGAATTTAAACGTCTGGCTCTTTTACTCTTAATATAAACTACAGACCAATACATAAAGGGAAAGGGGATATAAATATAAAGGGGATATTTTATATACATATAAAAAGGTGGGATTAACTAATAATACATGTAGAGTACACGCACCAGATGTTGAAAACTCGGGCAGAAGGTAGACTGTATACCATGCCTAGGAAAGTGTTGGTGTTACCAGGTAAATATGCAAATGTAGCAAATATGAGGACATTTCTGAAAGGCATTTATAAATGAAACAAAAGAACAAGCATTATTCTATTACAATTCCTCCTCGAACGTCGATTCCTACTTATATGCAAATCGGTACCGGAACAAAATTGAGAAGTTAATATTCTGCCCTAACATCCACTGTGAAAGTGGAAGATGCAGGTAGCTTGTTAGAAAGTTTTGAATTCAGTTGCATATGGGTCTTCTAGTGTATTGTGCATTGCATATATATTTATGGCTTGATTTCGAAGGTTTAAATCATAGTGCTACTAGCCATGAATATATATAACATGATCGAAAGGGGTGGGACTAATATGCGAAGGATTGTGATATTAACTGGATGATTGGAAGAAGTTGGCTTGTGTTAGCCCCAGTGGCCTAATGGATAAGGCATTGGCCTCCTAAGCCAGGGATTGTGGGTTCGAGTCCCATCTGGGGTGGTTTGTGTATTTTGATCTTATGTCCGTTTTTTTCTAAGAAGTTGCTGATCCATACCAAAATCTTGCTTCAGAATGCGAAAGTACGGTGAAAATCATAGCGGCGCCCAGACAGTAAATAATGCTGGGGCTCACTAAAAACAATCCTCTGTGAAGAGTTCCTTCTCTATATGATACCCTATAGTTAATAGAGCGGGGAAAACATATTTTAAAACAACCACATCGCTAATTGGAGCACTGAATATAATTAGCTCAGTGTAAAATGTATTTCGTTGGTCATTTTAAGGGTATATTTTCCTTATTACAAGATGTCTATCAACATAATAGTGTATATTTATCTTCTACTAAAATCTCGCGTGTAGGCATGTTAGGAACGACTTACACAGCGGCCCGCACAGATGTATCGAAAATACGACTTCCAGAATAGCGGGTCGCGGAAAGCTCTTCTAACGGGGCGGCACGAAGCCGTTCGAGGGCCAAATAAAGCTGGGAATTGCTTTGAAAGAAAAGGCTCAAAGCTTTGGTTGCCCTTCTGCTCCTATCAAATGGATCTGAAATTCGTCGATATATTCTAATTATTTAATGCTTTGCTTTCCATTATATCATTATTCCTGTCTAATGGATGAGATGAAGCGCCGGCACCTGGACTGATAGCAACTACGTAACAAATATGCCAAGAACAGAAGATTAGATACCTATCAGGTCTGAGCTGCAGACGGGAGCTTAAGTATTGCGCTTCAATAAGGCTGCTCTGAAACACGACCAGGAAAGACCCGGTGGGTCTTGTAAACTTTTCTTTTTGATTGGGCGTTGGGTGAAAGAGAGGCCCTCTGATTGGCTGCATATTACTTTCCAATAGCGGAAGCAAAATGGCGTCTCTCGGGTCTCCGCTTCGCACTTTCCGTGGTTTATTGAGGGAGCTCCGTTATGCTTTAGGAAGGAGCGATGTCTCTTACCGAAACAAGGCAGCATATCGTTACTTGAAGGAAGCTTTCCGCTACCACCGGGTATGTATATTCCGGTGTTGGTACTCGAAATCTTCCAACCTTTGCGTTAATAACGGCTTGCATTTTTTGCCTTCAAATGTAGCGTTTTTCTTTGGGCTTTAGTTCTGTTTCGGGCACTGGCGAAGCTATGGTAGCCCTAATAGTAGGCACCTGGGTTTTATGCAGACATTAACTAAAAGGCTAATATTCATGATACTGTTAAAGTTAAATGATTAAAGCGTACGATAGCAACTTTTTGTGAAGAAGTTTCAAGCCATTTCATGAAAACACTTGCTACACGTTCGCTTCTGCTCCCCCATTCCAATGTTCCATATGAATTTCAAGATACTAAACGCATTACATCAGTTTAACATAATGCAATACAGTGGGGTCTCCAAAATTAGAAACTTTTAAGACTTGTGCACTTCAGCTCCCAGGATTTCCCACCCAGCCTGAAGCTGCTAGATTTGGAGACCCCTGCATTACAGAATGGCAGCTGGGGACCAGAGCAAATGGAATGATGATTGGGCTATAGGCAGAGGAGTTGGTCGCACTTGTGTGTTCTGACTCGTGGAACATTACACTGCAGAAGAGTGGAAAAGCTGCTGAGAAAGGCAAGTTGGAAGGATTTATTTTTTTAAAAAAAAACACTTTACCTTCCATCTTGGTCACATGAAATTATAATGTCCCAAAGGTGCTTTTTCAAGAGGAACTGGACTTTATGGTTTTTGGTTTTTGAAGACGTTTTGCTTCTCACCCAAGAAGAAGCTTCTTGGATGAGAAGTGAAACATCTTTAAAAAAAAAAAAAAAAAAAAAAAACGTAAGTCCAGTTGCCTCTTGAAAAAGCACCTTGGGGACAACCATGACCTGGATGACTGGGAATCTCCATAGACATGAAATTATAATTCAGAGCACATGGGGAAAATCTACTTACAAAGTAGGATTGTGTTATCCCTTAGGATAGGATTCTATTTTAAAAAATGAATAAAAATGTAAGCGAACATTTTCTTCCTTCGGTTTTAATTTTCTATGTGGAACAGTGATTTGCTTGTATATGCTATCATTGTGCTACCACTGTAATAAATTCTAGCAGATTTATTTGGACACACACATATTGGTTCAAGTGTAAGCTAAAAATGTATTTATCTGAATTGAAAACTACAGTAGATACAAACAATACCGTTTCTTATGCATGTCTTTTCTCTGACTCCAGGTAACCAGTGAAAAACTCTGCAAAGCCCAGCATGACTTACATTTTCAGGCTGCTACTTATCTCTGTCTTCTGCATAGTATTCGGGAACACTTAGTACTACATAAGGAATATCATGGCAAAGGAGAACGATCACCAGAAACAGTGGCAGGACTTGTAGGATTTAAACTGCCACAACAGCCTGGAGGAAAGGGATGGGAACCATAAATGTGGTTTAACCATTTCATAAAAATTTTGAGCTGTTTCTCCCCCCCCCCAAAAAAAATGGTCTGTTTAAATAAAAATGCTTGTATG